AAAGGTCAGGTAGAATCCAGGGAAAGGGCTTTTGTCTAAGGCTTAAACAACAAATTGTGGTTTAAAGTAGCTGATTCCTGGTATGCACTGTACTTCCTTTGGGTTGAGCCATCATTGCTGCTTTCTTGTTTTTTAACTCACAAAAAATCAAAGTATCGTGTAGCTTTTCCCACCTGCCTGACACACCAGGGAATGAAAAAGATGAATCATATGTAAGAATATAGCTTTGATGAAAAAGTCCCCAGCCACACAATGACCTGATTGGTTTAACAAGCCCCACGATGTTTGTCTGACGGAGAGAGGACTATTTTTGGACTTCAGGTAGGCAGAGATATATCACAAGCACATTCATGGATATTTGTGGTGCAGGTCCACTTTGAACATCTGCAAGTACAATTCTTACATTGGTCTGCATTTGGTATCTTGTTCTTGGTGAGGTAGTTTAAAGTTGAACTAGTGTTTGCTATGTGCTAGGCACTGCTTCAAGCCCTAACTCTGAAAATCTTTACAGCAGCCCTAAGAGGTAGGTAGTATTACGATTGCATTTTGCACATGAGAAAATGGAGGTGCAGGAAGTTAAACAAAGGACAAGGGGTGTGGCTTTGTTGGGCACCTTCTAACCCCAGTACACACACACACACACACACACACACACACACACACACACAGATTGAATAACTCACCTAAGGTTATAAAGTCTGGATTCCATGCAACACCCCTAGTATCCAATCCCAAATGTGGCAATGGTTCCTATTTTTCCTATTTGCTTCAAGTCCCCTTGTAATTTGTGAAAGAAAGCAAGCACCACACAGGAAGTTTCTGTGCCCATTACATTCCAGTTCTGTGTTCCATCCCTGTCCCATGAATGTGGAGTGTACCTTTCAGTTCCTTTTTCAAATGTTTTTAGGTACATGGTCTTGTATCTGGGCACTTGTATACATAGTACTTTTTTTCAAATTTCAAACATTTATATAATGCTATGGTATGGGTACATGTCTCCTCAAAGGCCCATGTGTTAAGGTTTACTTCTCAGCCCATGGTGCTATTGGGAGTGGTGTTCTGGTCATTGGGGGCATGCGCTCAAGGGGATGGTAAGACCCTACCTACCCTCTTTCTCTTCTTTTTTCTCCTTTGTGTTGCAGTTATGAGGTGAATGGTTTTGCTATGCTCATTCACCCTGCCTTGAGGTGCTGCCTTACTTTACCACAGGCCCAAAAGCAATGAGATCCATGGAGCAGGGACCAAAACTTCTAAAACTGTGAGCCAAAATTAACTTTTCCTCTTTCTAAGTTGATTAGCTCAGGTATTTTGTTATAGTAACAAAAAACTAACACATGTAAGTTGTGATATTCTAAAGTAATACCTTTTATGACAATTGCATTTTTCCTTCATTTCTACCATTATGCTTACAAATTCTGCCTATGTGGCATTGATCCCTCTGCAACATCCAGTTCTAAAGCGAATGGCCACATTTGGTTACCAATCACTTGAAACATGGCTAGTTCAAATGGAGATGTGCGGTTAAATGTAAAACACACACCAGATTTCAAAGACAATATGAAAAAGAGTTAAAAACCTTATTAATGATTTTGATTTTTAATATTGGTTGCATGTTGAAATGATAAAATTTGGGATATTGGGTTACACAGAATGTTATTAGAATTGACTTCACTTGTTTCTTAGTTTTAATATGACTACTAGAAAACTGAAAACAACATATGCCCCACGTTTATGGCTCATCTTGTATCTCTATTGGAGACTGCTGGCTGATGGAGATCATTCCTCTTGTTTAAATGAAATTCTAGCTTAATAATCTTTAAGAGGATGCTTTAGTTCCATTAATTGAAGATCCATTTTTAAACTGCTGTCAGTCTGGGTTTTATTAACTGGTGAAGGAAGATGCCTTAAATCTGAATAATTGATATTGACTGTGCTCAGATACTTATTCTAAGTGCTTAACATGTTTCTTAGTCTATTTTGTGCTTTATATCAGAATACCACAGACTGGGTAACTTACAATGAACAGAAATTTATTTGGCACATAGTTCCAGAGGCTGGGAAGGCCATCAGGAGGCCACATCTGATGAGGGTCTTCTTGCTCTGTCATAACATGGCAGAAGGCATCATATGGCAAGAAACAGCAAGAAAGGGACGAACTTAACTTTTGTAACACGAATCCATTCATGAAGACAGAGCCCTCATGACCTAACTAACCACTTCTTAAAAGTGCCACCTCTCAACCTTTGGGGACACTTTCAAACCACAGCAACATGTAATAACCCAATCAGTCCTCCTGCAATATTGTATGACTGATCAAAATGGTTAAGCAATTATCCAAAGTCACACAACTTGAGCAGACTGAGCTGGGACTGAAGTCCAGCAGGTGGGCTCTGAAGTCTGACCTTCCAACCACAATCCAACTGGACCAAGCACTATGAGAAATGGCATAAATGTGCCCAAGAAAGCAGTGGCCACATAGTTTAACTTGATGATGTCACTGACAATATATTCTCCTTACAGATCAGTGAAGCATCTGGCTTTTTTGACTTTTAACAGAGCGGCTATACAGACACATAGTTTTTACAATTTCAGCTTTAATGAAACTAGCACAGGCGGTATTTTTCTGACATCCGCTTGCAATGTTATGAAGTCAGCTTTACTCTTTGCCACTAATTATATTAACTATTTTTAGGGCAAATTGTCAATGTGCCATACTTATTCATGCTTCCTACGTTTCCAATTTGTTTTCTTTAGCCATATCTATTTATACCTGAAGTGCTTTTTTTTCTTATTTTATTTTAAGAGACGTCCTCATTATTCTGCCAATGACAAAGTTGGGGCTTGTAATTAAGTTATAAAACACACTGGGAGGGAAAAGGCGACGTGTGGTTGCCATGGGAATATTATTGATGACTATTGGATTGCTTTTCAGATTCTGAATAAAAACTCATTTCAACATTTCTCAAACCTAGGCAGGAACCTAAGGTCACCTAAGTGTAGGTTTAGACCAAGGACTTGGTGTCAACAAGCTTCGTGACCATGTGACCCTGGGTTTGGTATTGTAACCATTGTAAGCCCCAATTTCCTCATCTCTAAAATGGGGGACCAAACATGTACCTTCTAGAGCTCTTTTGTGGGTTAAATGAGATGGGGTTGTAACTCGGTTCCTTGGGGCTACTTTTATTCCACGGTAGTTGTGGTAATGCTATTATTATTATTATTACTATTGCCACAATTATTCTGTGGTTATTTCCCCCAGATGATGGTCTCTTCAGGCACATCTGACCTTACTCCAATAGGCTTTTTTCTTCTCTGTTCTCTAACAGTAATCTTGAACTCTTAGGTAGAGAGATCCATAGTTAAAAGGAAGAAAATCCTGCAGCCTCCTCCCTCCACTTACTCTCCATCTGGGGCACTCTGAGCAGCTCTGGCTTAAAAAAGCTAATGCCATAACTTAAGACTTCTTACAGTAACCTGCAATATCCACTTTCCAAGGATCGACCTCCACTTGCCCCTCCAAATGCACCTGAAAATAGAAACATCCTGCTTTCCTTGGGATCAGCCACCATGGCCTTAAGTACTCCTGTTCATCTCGCTTCCTGAATGTGGACTCCTTGCCTCTCTTCATTACCATGAGTGTGAACTGAGAAAGAATCAGCCCCAATAGAATAGGTGCATAAAAGCTGCTTTTGCTAAAAAGCGCTGACTCCTTATTTGGGCCCATGAATTAACTAAAAGCAGGCGAAAAGCTTGGCATCTGTCTCCATTTTGTGTCTTTGCTCTAAGTCATTCACATTGCAGTCACCTTAGAAACTAGAAGATAGGACTGATTGATAGCATCTTTATGACAAGGGATCAAAACTACCCCTACAGAGCCTTGCAGGACAGACCCCCACACACACAAAATGTGGACAATTACCTATAATGATGAGGCTGCTTTTGGAGCAAGAGTGATCATCTCATGGAAACCAGATTGTTCCCCTCAAGGGATGACAGTGATAACAACTTCTTGCAAAACTTTGAGAATCAAAACTGAGATAATGACCAACCAGCTCATGCCTGTGTCTGGGACTGTTTAACTATGCATATCTCTGCTCCCAATTCTTTGTCTATTTAAACCTACAGCTCATGTCTGTACCCTGAAGATGGGCTGAAGTGCTTATTTCTCCTCTTCGTATGGCTGCTTGTGCCATGTAATAAATATCCTTTCTCTGCCCTTTTATTTGACACACAAGGGGGGAGGCCTGACCTGACATGTAGGCCCAAGAGTTTGGGCCTGGAGCCTAAAACTCTTTTTTCAATGTAATATCCCCTTTTGCCTTGTACTGAAAGTTGGAACAGCCTCCCTTCGACTACACACACACAGCCTGGCACCTGCCAGCCAACAGGTGCCTAGCGTTTGTTGAGTACAATTATTAGTTTCTCCCTCTGCAGCCATGTGGAACTGAGGGAAGACAATTTCTTTGCTCTTGGCACAGGGTCCCCAACATGGTCCGGGTTTGCCGCCTCTCCTGAAGGATTGCAGATGTCTGAGCTCAGGTTCTTCCTCCCTGGGGTCTGTGTCCCCAGAGCCCAGGCCTTACACGGGTGTTCACTAAGTGGCATCTAATGCTGCAGTTGGGTCCTCCACAAGACCTCCTCGAGCTGCAGCTTACTTACCTATTAGTTGGTTTTGGACCCTCGGCATCATGCGAACTGTTATTTCTGACACAACCCCTATTTAATAAATGTTATATATTAAAATGTTAAATAAAATATTTAAATAATTAAATATTAAAATAACTCCTGACTATTTAATAATTTAGCTACCATGACTCACAACCAAATCCAGGCCATCCCACATCCGCCCACGGCCTGTTGCCTAGCAACAGTCGTTCCCGGACTTTGCCCTGCCCCATTCCCACTGCGCACGCTCAGTCTTTCTTGCGATCCAGCCCTTGCAGGGCGCGCGGTAGTGACGTATACACTGCGCGACGCTCTTGACGGGCTGGTCTCTCCCATTCTATTGATTGACATTCTGAGTCCCGGTGCCATGGCCTCCGCTGGGGTGGCTGCCGGGCGACAAGCCGAGGATGCATTACCGCTGCCGTCGGAGCCGCCGTTGTCCGAATCTAAGGCTCAGCCGCCTTCTCAGCCGCCCCCGGTCGCCGCGTCCCAGTCGCAGCAGTCGCCAGCGCCGCGACCTCAGTCACCAGCCGGTGTGAAGGAGGAGGAGAACCACTCTTTTTTACCTTTGGTTCATAATGTCATCAAATGGTAAGGGTGTAAGGCAGGACGAGACACTAAAATCCCTCCTTTCCGTCTCGCCGAGTTCAGAGCTGCCAGGTCTTGGCGCTCTGGGACACGCCCCCATTTTACACTTTGGGAAACTAAGCCCCAGAGCCGGAAGGCCTTTCCAGAGACCACACATAGTCGTGCCCTGAGTTCAGCAAGCGCTTTGAGCCCCGAGGGTTGCAATATGCTGAGGAATGAAGCTTGCTTCTTGACCAAATGCAGAGTCTTTGCGATGCGACTGCTCAAGTTTGCATCCCAGCCATGCTGACCGTGAATTAAGCGTAATTAATATATGTTAATACCGTTTGACTAGCTCTTATCCGAAATGCCTGGGCCAGAACTGTTTCAGATTCAAGTCCCTCCCTCCCGGATTTTGGAATATTTGCAGATATGTAATGAAATACCTTGGGGATGGGACCCAAGATCTTATACACAGCCTAAAAATTTTATACAACATTTTTAGTTCACCTGCTTTTTTTCTGGGACTGATCACATGAGGTCAAGAGTAAAGTTTTCCACTTGGGCATCATGTGGGCACAAATGTTTTCAGATTTTCCGATTAGAGATGCTCACCCTGTACTCAGTTTGGTTCCTTTTTTCAACAGATTTGCATCATCTTCCCTGGGTGGCATACTGCTAAGTGCTATGGATGTACACAGGAAAATGGGCCAGCTTTTACCCCCACAGGAGAGCTCACCAATTAGAAGGAAAGAAAAATAACCCATAATTTCTTAAAAACTGAAAAGGGAGAGGTGATGATGGGAAACATTCAAGGAAAGAAAGACACAAATCAGAGTGCAAACTTTGTTCTAACAGAAGATCCAAGGATGCGGTTGTTATCTTTTTGGCCAAACTCTTCATGATTCCCATGTTTGTCTACATTTTTTTTATGATACTTCCTTATACAGTTGTGTTACCTAAGAATGGGGACAGGTTGTGTGAATATCCCAGAGTGTACATTCCTAAACCCAAGTGATATGGGTCATTTGCTCCCTTGGCCTCTTGATGCTGTCAAGAGACTCAGGAAGCTGCATAAGGTAATGTTTGTAATGCCAGCTGCTCTGGAGATTGGGAGGATTATGGTTCAAGGCCAGCCTCTCCACAAAATTATTGAGACCCCATTTCACCCAATAGCTGGGCGTGGCAGTGCACATCTGTCGTCCAAGCTATGAGGGAGGGGTAAATAGGAGTATCATGGTCCAGGCGGGCCTGTGCAAAAACCCTAGCCCCACAATAACTAAAAGCCATGATGACATGGCTCAACTATAGAGTGATTACCTAGTAAGTGCGAAGCTCTGAGTTCAACCCCTAGTCCTACCTAAGAGAACAAGAGCGAGACAGTATACAGGAAATGTATGAAACTACTGCTGGCATGACATAACATGCTGTTTCATTGAGTAGAAAGTAGGAGTGCATCCCAAAATAACAACAAAATTCAAGACAGTAAATGCATAAGCCAGTGACATAGTAATGTCTTAGTATTTTCAAGTATTACAGACTGTCCATCATTGTGTGTGCCATACTTTTATACATTTGGTGGTGCAGTGGGTTTGTTTACACCAGTGTGAGTGATGCATTGTGCTACAGTATGACCACAGCTACAGCCTCACTAGATGAAAGAAGTTTCCAGCTCCATTCTAGTTTTGTGGGACCACCATTGTGTATATGGTCTGTTTTGACCAAAAGGCTCTTTGACACATGACTGTATATCCACATGATAGTAAGTGTAAACTCCTGGGTTGTAACTTCCACTCACCTGTTAGAAATCAAACCAAAGTAAATTAAGACAAAATTACCATTGCAGTAACATTCCAGTGAATATTGACATGCTCTTTGATGTTTTGCTGAAATGGAATTGCCACTCATGACCTAGAAGTTGCTTTTGAGTTGAGGTAGTCTAGCTCCACATCAGGTGAACCCTCTTCTACCATGTTTCAAACAACTGCAAAGCTACAAAGCCTTTCTTCCCACATTAGACCCTCACTTTACTTGGTGTGAAGATACTGTGTGTAGCTGGCAATAAATTAGCACTTCTCAGTATCAGTGAGATCCCAAACAAATGCAGATGCAGGCCCTACAATCCCAGGGGTGCTGGATTACCAAGGGGTTATCCAGATTAACCCAAATATACTGGGTTTAAGAAAAATGTGGAAAAATGAAAATACAAAGGGTACACAGTCACAAAGATAGTTCTAGAATTGCAGAGAATATTCTTCAGCCCTAGTAGAGCCCTTGGGTTGGGCTGGCCTTTAAGATGGAGCAGTAAGATGTACTAAGGAGCACAGGCTTTGAAATCATTTGGTCCTGGGTTCAAGTTTGTGTGTTCATCATGGTAAATACTTAACCTTCTCCAGCTGTAATCTTTCTAATATGTCAATAATGGACCTCAAATAGTGGGTTCAAATTATACTTCTGTAAGATACTGGCTGGGTAACCTTTGGCAGATAGCTTAGCTTCCCTGGGCTTCTTTTTCTCTTGTAAAATGGAACAATAATATTTAAAACATAGAATTGTGAGATCTTCTCAGGCACATACCTGTAGAAGATGGCAGGCTCATCACATGTGTTTGTCTAAAAGGATACTGGAATGATTTTTTTTTTTTAGCATAAAACCAAAAAGAACAGGACAGGAGATGATTGGCACAAAACAGATGGCCAAGGGCTAACCGAAGCAGCTGCCTTTGCCATGGCCTCACCCCAAATCTCAGGACCTGGCAGTGGCAGGTGAGAATGAAGGAGGGACTAAAAACAGGAGGAAGTCTTAAGAAGCAGGTGCCCACAGTCCCATCCCCTTAACTCCTGGCTCTAAACAGCCAGGTGACCACCCTTCTATTTTGGCATTGGGAAAGAAAAGACTTCTTTCCCAAGAGGAGCCATGTCAGTCCATTCTACGAGAGTGCAAATGCATTACTCCTGCTCAGACTGTTTTACTTGGATGTATGACCTGGCAGCCCAGGCCACCAAGCATTGAGGGAAACCCCTAGCAAGAAAGACAGGACCCAATAGAAGAGCCCAGGGGCCCCAGAGGAGGCAGTGTATGCAGAGACAGGATGATATTGTCACCGTGACAAAGGCTAGGAGCCGTCTGAAAGCCTTTTGTGTGTTCTGTATTTGAGTTTATAGGCTAGTAAGGGAAGGAGATGTGGACTGTGATAAGGAGACCTCAGGAAGCCTACTGGAGCCAGATGCTTACGGAGGGTGATGCCTACAAGCCTGAAACTAGGAGAGGGAGGAATCGTGGTGTAGACGCATAGGTAGAAATGTGAAGCCAAGAAGTAGCATTGACCCCATTTGGAAGGAGGAACAGGATGGGAGAGGAGGGAGGAGGAGCCAGGATAGAGAGGGGAGCACATCCCCTTTAGGGACAGGACTTTTTCCTCTGAGGGATGAGAAGTCAACAAAGCAGATGGGGTAGTCAGGTGGGACACTGTCCTGGCAGGCTTGGCCAGAGGGGTTAATCTCATGGTCTCCTGTAACTTCCTCAGCAGTCCTTTTATTATTTGTTTGCTCTTTGCCCAGGAGGCAGTTAAACCTGAAGTAGTGAATGTAGCCTCTCTAGTTCTTATAAAGAGTTTAGCATCACATCTTTAGTTTAAAAAAATTATTTGGGAGTCTGGGCATGGTAGTACACATCTGTAATCCCAGCTACTCAGAAGGTAGAGATCAAGAAGATCATGGTTCAAGGCCAGCCTGGACAAAAAGTTAGTGAAATCCCCATCTCAACCAATAACCTGGGTGTAATGGTATACTCCTGTGATCCCAGCTATGCAGGAGGCCTTAGGTGGAGGATTATGGTCTGAGGCTGGCCCCAGGTAAAAATGTGAGACCCTATCTGAAAAACAGCTAAAAATAAAAAAGGTGTGGTAGCATGGCTCAAGTGGTGGAGCTCTTGCCTGGCAAGAACAACGCCTTGAGTTCAAACCCCAGTACTGTCATATACATATATGGAAAGGTGTAACTGTTTCCTTCCAAGAGTTATATTTGTGTGTGTCTTTTCAGAAGGTCATGCAAATGGAGATCAGGCTGTCCTGTGCCTTTTCATTGGTTAGTGCGCCACAGATGCTGTTCTGCACGCACATAATGATCTGCCCCTTCAGACAGCTGCAGGGTATTCCAGCTCATGGATGTACTGTAATTTATGTAACTGGTCTCATGTATATGGGCTTTTGGGTGTTTCTGTAATTTTTGCTGCTGCCAGCAGTGCTGAGGTAAACAGCCTTGTGTCTGTGAGGTAAATCCTCCACAGTGGAATTATTAGAGCATGGGGCCCATGCTATTTATTTATTTATTTATTTATTTATTTATTTATTTATTTATTTATTTATTTATTTAGGTGGGATTGGGATTTGGACTGATCTTCAACCAATTTTGCTGTAGTTATTTTGGAGATGGGGTCTTGCAAACTATTTATCCAGGCCGACCTTGAACCACTGTCCTCCTGATCTCAGCCCACCCCCCGCCCCCAGGTAGCTACAATTACAGGCATCAGCCATTGACTCCTGGCTCCCATGCATTTTTTATTTTGACAGCTATTGCTCAATTTAGGCCATTACATTTTTTGTGCTAACTCCCCCCAAATTCAGTCCTATGGACTGGCCTGCTTAAATTAACCTAAAAGTTCTATTCACCTAAAATGGCCCATAAACTTCCACCTAGAAAGCGTTTTAAAAAATTAAGGCCGTAGATGGACTCCAGGAGTATCCATAGATATAAAATGGAAAGTGATCTGCCTACTCCTCTCTTCTCTGCTACCTCTCTGTCCCAAACCTTCGTAATGTTCCATTTTATGACAGTCTATCTAAGTTCACTTGCTTTTGGTGAATGAAACATTTCTTCTTGAGCCTGCTCCTTTACTTCCAAGCCTGTTGACAGCACCCATCATCCAGCTCTAACCTCATACTTGGATCTAATAATCACTTGATTAGTCTTTTGACCTTTAAACTCTAATTCATCATATGCATGTTAAAAGATTAATTTTTCTCT